GAATATATTTATTTTCTAATAGATTTGGATTTAAATAATTAACAAACTACATATTAAGTTTTGAGCTAAACATTTTTTTTTTTTTTTTACAAACTACTTTTAATTTGCAAACATTAAGTTTGGATATTGGATAAATTTAGACCTAAATTGAATATTTAGTTTGTAATTAATTGTTTAGCTCCAAATTAAATATCTATTTAACAAACTAAATATTTAACTAGCACCAAGCTAGCTAAATATTTAGCTAGTTTGGAAAATAAATATTAATATATTTATATTATAGAATATATTTGGAGCTAAATATTTATTTAACAGACTATATCTAATTTGCAAACTAAACATTTAGCTCTAAACTAAATATTTATTTTGTAATTAAATGTTTCGCTCCAAATATTTATTTAACAAACTAAATACTTAGCTGGCTTACTGCTGGCTAAATATTTAGTTTATTAAATAAATATTAATGTATTAATATTATTGAATATATTTATTTTCAAATAGATTTGGATTTAAATAATTAACAAACTACATATTAAGTTTTGAGCTAAACATTTTTATTTTTTTACAAACTACTTTTAATTTGCAAACATTAAGTTTGGATGTTGGATACATTTAGACCTAAACTAAATATTTAGTTTGTAATTAATTATTTAGCTCCAAATTAAATATTTATTTAACAAACTAAATATTTAGCTAGCACCAAGCTAGCTAAATATTTAGCTAGTTTGGAAAATAAATTTTTTTAGTTAGTTTGTTAAATAAATATTAATATATTAATATTATAGAATATATTTATATTATGATATATTTGGAGCTAAATATTTAACAGACTACGGTATATTTAATTTGCAAACTAAATATTTAGCTAGTTTGGAAAGTAAATTTTTTTTTTTTTTTGGTTAGTTTGTTAAATAATTATTAATATATTTATGTTATAGAATATATTTATATTATAATTTATTTGGCCGCAGACAATATATATATTTACTTTTAAGCTAAATATTTAACAAGCTAAATATTTAACTTGCAAACTAAATATTTAATAAAGTAAGATTTTTATAAATGAATGAATGAATGACATGGTGGAAAAATTACCCCCTTTTTTTTCTCTTAAAACCCGCTAAATAATCATAAATCGAATGTTTTACTGCTTAGCTTTACAAAAGGTGCGCCATAGATGACCAGGCTCGGGTCCGGACTTTGACTGGACCGTGGGAACACCTTGGTTCAACCCCAGTTCAAGGTTCAGCTGCTGGACAGAGACCTGCAGGCATGACAGGTTGTGGGTTTGATTCCCTTCCCAAACCCCCTGTTGGTGTTAACGTCAGTAACATGAATGTTGTTGATCCAGTTTTCACCAGCTGTGCTGCAGATCATCTTCCCACTGATCTTTGTCTGAATCACCAAATCATGATTTAGCTTTACTGGATCAGGATCAGTAGATTGCAGCTGAATTAACGTCAGAGCGCTCTATAAACTGGTCTCTATGCGCTCCAGTTTAATCCAGTTGTGTCCAATATTTTCCATCTGAAAACAAAGGGATAAACATGTCTCTGTGTTGGAGACAGACGGGTTTAAAAAGAGAGGAAACCCGATCAAACCAAAGCTCCTCGGTCGTCTCTAAAGCTTCAGAGCGTTTGTGAAGGAGTGGCCCCCAGCCTTCCAACCACAGCCTACCGTGGGAACCTGGCTCCCTGACTCAGTGGGATTGGCCAATCTTTGCTCCGTTTACTTTTGCTTCTTTGGAAATTGAGCAGCTTCCCTGATGACAGTGAAGGCATCCCCTTACATCCTCCCTTTCAGTTCTGTGTATCTGGCAGCGGACCCATCCGTGTAGTGATTACATCACAGCTGCTGGTGTCGAGTAGATGAAGGCAGAGCCTCCGATGACTCCACAGCTTCCTGGTCCTGAGGCGGCTCCCTCTAGTGGGCTGATAGTGGATGGCTCCCCGGGCGGGGGGGCTGTGGAGTGGGGTGAAACGTATAAAATGAGCAGAATCGGATCCCTCCAAATCTCTATGGATTAAAATAATGTTGTATAAAAAAAAGGGACCTGAACTCAGAACCGGTTCTGCTGCTAATGTTGCTACAAGATAGTGAATCACTGGTTGCTGTCGGTCTGTTTACTCATGGCATTGGCACAACGTCATGTTTCTCATTTCTATGACTAAACGTGGCCTGGTCCTGCAGATGTTTTTATGGGAAGCAGAAGAACAGACCAACAGCATGGAAAGCTAATGGTTCACAGCGTGTGATCTGCTGACTTAATGAGAACAGATGCGGAACCTGAAGCAGCCTTGAAGCTAATTTGCAGACGGAAATCCTCCAAATGTTAGATGAGAACCGGCTGTGTGGCAACAGGGCTAAAGGCTTTTCTGCTTCGCTCGTGCCGAAGGATCCGAGTCACACAGATTTGGTTTGTAAGGATGTTTGGAAAACTAAGCAGCCTGAGCTGCTCCCTGTGGGAATGGACTCAGCTGGTTCTTATCCCAATATACGCAAGGATGAAAAATCATAGGTTCTCCACTCTCATTCTAAATATGGGCCACAGGGGGGTGTATGTGCAGCTCCCTCCTTTCCTATTATCTACGTTGACTGTAGGGATCGAATAGACGATGTTGAACCGGACTACAAAAAGGAGGTCAAGCACCCAACGCAACGGCACCATGACCCAAACATAAGGCAAGGCAACAAATTCTGGGATCCAGGAGATCCAAACACAGAGCAGTCCGGCCTTTGCATCCATAGAGAGGAGGCAGAGATGATGGAAACGCAGGCCTATTTCCTCAGGAAGTTAAAGCGGACTCATGTTCCTCTCCGCCTGTGTGGGGAGCTTTAATGGGGTCATCTCTGAGTTCATCCCGACCTGCTGCTGCATGGCAAGGGTACCAGATCTACCATGGAGGACAAACTATCCAGACAAGGAACTTTAAGGGGCTGCAAGGTGCAAAAGATGCATGAACAACCGGTCAGTAGATCATCTTTGTGTGTGCCATCAGGCTTGTGTGCTTCTTTCTGGAACATGTCCTCAGCGTGAAGCAACATGGGACTGAAACTAGGACTGGATGAAGACGACATGTTTCCCTGCTCTGTTTGGGGCAAACGGAGAAATGAGGAACTTGCTCTAGAGGAACATGTAACAGCAGCTTTGTACAGTCTGCTTTAGCAGAAGCTCTGTAACCAACAGGTGCAGAAGTTTCCCTCCAGTCTGGAGCTGCAGCAGGATTGTGGCTGAATGAGTGGCTAGCGGATAACAGGGCACGGATTCAGCGCTTCATGTGGCTTCTGTAATAATTGAGACGGACAGCTTGTTTCTTGGTGCTAAAGAGAGACCATTTTAGGAACATTTCAACCAAAATCTCTGATTCATTCAAGGACTGGCATAATTATAAAGGGTAGCAAATCTGCTTCAAGCTGACCTAAAGATGTGAAACAGATCAGTAAAGCCACATAGAGGAATCGGCACATAGGAGGGGGAGCGCTGGCTATATAAGGAGAGATGTAGAATAGATAAACACCTCAAACACTGTGGAGCAAACAGGCCCAAATAATTTACAGGTTGCTTACATCAGAGGCTGCTGGCTGTTTATCCATTGGTGTTTATGAAGCGGTAGGAGCTCAGTGGGAGAGATGGTCCCAGTTCAGAGGGGTCCATCTCCACTGTCAGGGAATGTGTTTTCATCAGGTCTGAGCTCTGCTCTTCTATCTGTTCCTCCTCTGCTTTAAGGATCCAAGTACATCATTTAAAGGAACCATAGAAAATATCTGCATATAATGAGAGTTTAATGATACGTTCAGACTGCACGCTGCAGAGGCTGCTAGTTTACATGCAAAGTCAATGGATGATGCAAATCAAGGCGCGGCAAAACGTCCTGCAGCGTGTTTTGAGCAGCCGACGCAGCGCCTCACGAGCTTTTGAGCATCTAACACAAGGTGACTCGCTTCCGAAGCAGCAGCTGCTGGAGTTGGAACAATGAACTTTTGCTGCTTGACGCACCAAATAACCCAATCAGAGAAGCTGAGCTGGGAGCTGGGAGTCTGACAAAGCCTTGCTGATGCAGAGCGCTATGATCCCTCCTCTGAAACTGTTTAACGCCTAAATTAACTCAAAATATCGAAACCTGCAGGTAAAATACGTTTGATTTTATTACCCTGGTGCCTGCAGCTTGGATTACGTACATTAAAAATGCTAACATCTACTTCCAGCCGCCACGAACAGTAGCGGAAAACTGCGAAGAGGCGATCGGGCCAGAGGCTGCCATTGAACGGGATTCCCAGTGACAGAGCACCGCCTGTGCACGCGGGTCTGAGCGGCTCTGACAGCCAAATAATATTTGAAGGCAGGATCATAATCTTAGATTATTATTAGATTACAATTTCAGATGGACTTTCTCACTTAAAAACATGTTAAAACTACTTTTCACCCACTCATAACAGCAAATATAGCTGCCATTGTTACAGGAAAAGAAAGGATTGGGTAGCTCCGCCCAACGCGCATCAGGCCCACTTTTCGACCACCAGCTAGAGCAGCAAAGATGCTTCAGCCGTGCGTCAGAACTAAACTTGAACAAGCATCAACAACGTAGCATCACGCACGTTTTTGCTGCTTCTGCTGCTTGCGGTCTGAACTGTTCCTTTGGTTCTTTTTTTCTGGTGGTTCTGATCCAAACCGGATGAGTTATTCCATGGTACCTGTTAGAACTGATCTTTGAACGCAGTCCTCAACAGCCTTGTTTTTAGAAACAAGCTGCTAAATGGTGCAACAAGTGACGCCGCCTTTAAAAGGCCTATAGCCAGGAAAATTAACATTTTCTGTTGAAATGATGTTCCTTGGAACTCTGATTAACCCTCATTAATTCTGCTGTCTGAGCAGCAGCCCCTCCCTGACCTGTGAAACCAGTGGTTGGAGAATATCTTCCTAAGAGAGCAGCTAGATTAACCGCACTGTGCCAGCACTGTAAACAATCCAATCAGGAAGGGATGGTGAGGCAGAGAACCAACATTTCAGCCCAAAGTCCAAATTAGGAAGCTCTTTTAGGAGTTTATCTGCAAGGCAGGAACATCTAAAAGTTTCTACCAGGTTTATCATCTGCAGCCCATTAATGTCAGGGACCGCTTTGCTCCTGGAAACCCGCTCGGCCTGCTGGGATGTTGTTTATCTGTGGTTTATGTTAATCTAGATTAATTTCCGAATAAATCCATGTTCTGCTGGGAAAACTGGTTTTCACTCAGCCTGGGTGATGACTGCAGTCATTAGTAGCATATGGAGTTAAACCCCCATTTAATATTAGCTGCTTGACCCATTTCAATGGTTCTACTCTTGTTCTGTGTTGTTGCTGCTTTAAATGAACCTAATTGACTTTTTTCCATCTTAGTTTCTGTGAACTGATGCAAAGGATTCAGGTCCTTCTAAGCTGCGTACAATGTTTTAATCTCAGGTGTGATTTATTTATTTTTTTCTGACTGCGCATAGAGAGGCTTCGACTAGGCAGGGTGGGCAGATCTACACAGATTTTCTTCACTTCTGTGTCTGTGCTATACAAACATTGAAACAATTTCCAACATTTGACTTGGACAGATTATGAGAAGTTATAAAAGAAAAAAAAATGCCGGATCATTCTATAAAGCAAAGTCCCTCTTAACCAGAACAGATAGAGAATTTATACATTAAAAACATAACAAGATCTATGTCTAACGATACGAAAAAAAAAACGGTTTCTATGCTGACTGGGTGAGAGAGGTGATTCTCAGATGGAGATCCGGGAAGATTTTTATTTTTTTTTGTGAGGCTCAAAGAGGATCACCACTTTACTATGTCCATTAAATTTTTTTCCCCCTGAAGTTAATTTTTTTATCGAGGGAATTGATAAACTGCACTTTATATCCCTTGTTTTTGTGAGGCCCTTCTTTATCTGTTTTTTTTTGTTTTGTTTTTGTCCTTCATTGTTTTTGCACCCGTCAGTTCCGCTTATTATACAGTATACACGATGTTCGATTCCAAACTGACTCTTTCCTCGTGCGATTAACAAATTTTATTTTGCATTTTCCCCCAAAGCAGATGTGTTTTACTTTGTAACTGTATCTCTCTTCCTGTCAGACCCATGAAATTGCTGCTGAATTGCTGCGTAGTTCAAATAAAATAGACCTGGGCTCTATCTCAGTTGGACCTATGCAGCCACCTTTTGTAAAATTGTGTCGGATGTGAGCATCCCCATTGACTTTCAATGAGCGCTGAACGCCACGACCTCTGACCTTACGGAGGAGCACATTAAGGAGGAGCACATGAAGCCTAACCACGACCAGAACATGCCTAACCTAATGTCCAGTCACACCGTGGTCCTCATATCAAAAAGGAAGTGAGGACAAGAAAATGTCCTCACTCTGATACCAAACCAGGACCCCACACCCACCAGCCTGCTAACAGATCTTTATTCTCTCTTCTTAGGTTTGTCCGAGGAGCATAAAGTCCAAACACCGGCTTTTACCGACACAGTCCGACTCTACCGCCAGGCTCAAGGGCACTTTGGCACCTGGGAGATGATGTGTGGCGTACCATCCCAGGTAAAACCTCCCCGGCCTGAGTTGGTTTGGACCTCGCCAACCTTTTAATGACCTTTTCTCCAGAACCGAGGAACCATGCTAGCTGAAAAGTGTCAAACCTGAGAGGTTTGACAGGTTCTGGTTGGCAGCAGCATAGCGCCACCTTCAGGTCGGCCCAGAGAGCCTCCTTTAGTTCTGTTCCTACTGTTGCATGTTTTTTATGTTTGTTTTTTTTTACTGATCTATTGAGCTCATTGTCTCTCTGTTATCATAAAGAGACAATCTGATTGGACCAATCCAGGTTAGCGCTGTTAGCTTCACGGGCAGAGGCCCGTTTTCAGTCAGATTCTGAGAATAAAATATTAAGTGGGACAGTCAGTGAGTTGATGGGAAGATTGGATCCTCCCTCCTGACCCCTGGTGGTGGACAGATGTTCCTGCAGGACGCGTTCTGCCTCCTCGGTTCTGTAACGCTGTGTCTCTCCTCATAGATCCTGTCTAACCTGGTGATGGACAGCCTCCTCCCTGAACTGAGGGAGCTCATCTCCCCCCGTCTAAAAGGAAAACTCTACGAGAGGCAGAGGAACTGGATGCTGGTGAGATCCTTCATCCTCAGCTCTAACCACTCGTCACATTTCCATCTGTGCTTCATGTTTTTTATACCTTTTTGTCAGCGAGGATAAATTTGTTGTAGTTATCCAAAATCAACTATGAAGTAACAAAAGGACGACAGCTTTTGTCTTCGTTGTTGGTCCTTCATCTCCTTCATCAACTTCATTGGATTGAAGCAGGAACTTGGAGGAGCTTCACTAGGAAACGATGATGATGATTTTAGGTTCTGGATCAACTCCTGGTTCTGGTCCACTGGGCTTTCTGTGTCTGCAGTCAACCAAACCAGCCCCTTACTGGTGAAGTTTCTCTGTCATCCAGGTCATAGTCCTTCCAAAAAAGCTAAAAAAAAAAACAATCCTCTGGTCTTTGTTTCCTAGATTGACGTTTCGCTTCCCATCCAGGAAGCAAAACGTCAAAATGTCAGAAATAGCGTTGAGTTTGAGGCTTTATAGAGTCAACCAAAAAAACAAAAGCCTTGTTTTTGCTTTGATTTAGGCTTTGTTCTTGGTCAACTCCATAAATCCTCAAACTCCGGCGAAACTTCTTCAAACTTAGAAACAAAGTCCAGTGGATTTTTTTTTTTTTTTACTTTTTTGGGAATTCAGTGCCCTTTGTGCTGATCAGCTATATGGAGATTCTGATTTTATCAGCCAGCTGGTCCAAAGACCATATTACTGGGTTTGACTGACCAGCAAACTGAGCTGATCAGAACCACACAGAGAACCTATAGGTCAGAGGTCACAGATTAGCGGACCAGGGTCTGGATCGGGACTCACCTGCTGGCTAATCCGGACCCAACCTGATTTAAAACATTTATAAATTACTGCATATTGTCCGATGGCAGTGTCTAACTTCACTTGCGCCGCTTCTCCTTTTAATACGGTGCCCTGCAAGGTTTAAAGCCTTGCAGGGCAGCATAAAGCCCACTGCCAACATTAAGACAGAAAAAAGAAAGAAAAGAAAACGGTCACTTCTTTCACCAAACTGAAAGATTTCAGTTCTGTACTTCAAAAAACACTTTGAATTTTTAAATAAAGAAATAGAGCATTTTTTGATGCATAAACACCTCTATTTTATTTCAATGTTAAATGCTGTTTAAAGTAACGCATTATAATTAAAAATGTCTCCGGACCTTTCCTGGTTGTTTTTTATTCGGCCCCAACTGATTTTTAATTGGTTACCCCTTCTATAGTGTCTAAAGTTGAGACTTTCATAGGACCTTTAGGGAACCACAGTCCCATCCCAGCCCGGACCGGGTTCTGAGAGCAGAGAAATTGTCAATTTTAAAATATTTCTGCTTTTCTTCATCTGAGAATCCGAACCCAGAATTTAAAGGATGGAATCATTTGACCTCATGTGGAAAAAATCCAACCAAAGTTTAAAACCTCAAACTGAAATCTGAGGGTCCGGTTCAGACCCAGACGCCTGGATTTACGATCAACTGTGTTCCGTCTGCAGATCAGCGACGCCGTGTACAGCTTGGTCCAGAACCAGTGTCAGACCCAGTATGAGGCCGTGGTGCAGAAATGTGAAGCAAGCCGCTCGTCTCTGGAAGCTTCCATCCGAACGGATATGGATCAGATCATAACATCCAAGGAGCATGTCACCAACAAGGTCAAAGGTCAGCACCACCAGCCTGGTCAGTGTTCTTGAACCTGAACCGGGCGTGGAGATAACTGACGTCTGCTCTGCTCCCCCTGTAGCCGTGGTTCTTCCCAAGGCTGAGAAGTTACTGAAGGTCAGCATCGAGCCGTACATCAGCTCCATCCTCGACGCCCTGATGGAGCCCACCAGCCGAGGCTTCTTCGAGGTCCGAGATGTGTTCTTCAGGGAGCTGGTGGACATGAGCAAGAACACCCTGAATAACGGCACCAAGGAGATGATAGCTCAGGTAGGCTGGTCTAAGGACCACCAAACATCTGTCATAACCATGGAAACGGGAGATTTGTCTATGAACATCCAAGCTAATTTCTCCTTTACTCCTCCTCAGCACATGGAAAAGATCTCCATGCTGGCCTTCCACCCAGTGAAGATGCAGAGCTGCTATGAGAAGGTGGAGCAGCTGAGTCTGGAGGGTCTGCAGCAGAGATTTGACGTCTCCAGCCCATCCGTGTTTGTTCAGAGGGCCCAGATCCTCATGAGAAAGGTACCATCTGATTCACCGGATTCACTGCCACCTAGTGTGCAGATTGGAAAACTGCAGCTGAGGGCCAACTTTAAGACATTTTAATAAAAGTTCTTATTTAAACATGAAACACAAACTCTGTGATAAAGAGAAACAAATGCAGAAGATTTTTATCTCAGTTTTGATTCATAAACCTGAATAGATTCTAGTTTTCTGAGGTGAATCTGATTAAAAACAAATTCCAATGGAGTTGGAGTTTATTACGGAAGAGGATTAGGGCCACTGAAAAAAAAAAAAAAAAGTTAACTGATTTTTTTTATTTTATTTCAGTATAGTAGAATTCTGACTTTTTTTTCTCAGAATTCTGACTTTTTTATTGTCAGAATTCAGTCAGAATTCTGAGATTAAAGTCAGAATTCTGAGAAAAAAGTCAGAATTCAGACTTTTTTCCCATGTTAAACTGAAATAAAATTTAAAAATCAGTTTGCTTTTTTTTTTCAGTGACCCTAATCCTCTTCCGTAGTTTATAAATAATAAATATAATGGAAATAATTTAATGCATATAAATGTCCTACAGAAGTTGTGTGAAATTTGGACGTGTGCTTTGAGGACGATGTTGGAGCATCCATTCTTCTCCAGTTAAACCTGTGACATGTTCATATTTCTGCTCTAAATTTTACCCTAATAATGGGAAACATGGATTTAGCACACTGGGGGTCAGCCTGGGGGAGGGGGGCTGAGACGCTGGTTCCAGTGTGTTGGTCAGGGATCTGTTAGACCAAAGGTCACTAGGTTATTAACCCTCTGTTTGCCTTGTTTGAGCTCAAGAACATTTATTAAACCTTGGTTTTATATCCTTTATTTCCTACTAAGCTAAACCCAGTATGTTTATTATTTCCTGAAGAAGTCACTGGAACGAAGACGTCTCTCTCATTACCTTTGTTGCTCCTCAGCAAATGGACGATGCGGTGTATACGTTTGAGCAGATCCTGAACCAGAGTCTGGAATCTCAGAGTCCTGAGGATCTGTGCAAGACCATCCAACGGTGTCAGGACAGAGTCATGAAGGTATGGCACACACATGCAGCCAGCGGTTGGTGATGAAAACACCAGACAGCTCAGATATTCAGTCCATAAGTTTGGACTTTTCTTGTAGAAATAGATTTATCGCTTCCTCCTGTTCATATAGATCAAGTGGACTGAATCTGTCTTACAAATTCAATTATTTTTTGACATGATGCATCCAGATGTAGGATGAGGAACTTCCACTCTGTTGCTTTTCTTACCCTGAAATCCCACCGTCATCGTTCCGCCCCGCAGCGCTCCAGACCGCCTGCGCAAAGCAAAGCTTAAAGCCTCCCGTCTTCCTCCGTGCCGACTTCCTCTGAGCTCGAGGAGAGATTGCGCTATATTATTATTAAAATAAGGAGCAAAACATGCGGAAATGGACGTTTAATACAACATGAAACATTAAAAAAATCAGCATCCAGCATATGTTCAGTTTCTGCCCAAATGTTTTCTTTTTGTTGTAGATTTTTAGAACAGGGATAACCAGGATCATACGAAATAGTTTTTTATGAACCGTTTGTTCTTTACTTCCAAACTCAGCATCTCTTCATCCATTTCTGCAATAAGAAGTTTCTTTTGACTGAATGTGATTAAACTTTAAGCCTCTCAGTATAAAATAAATATTTTGATTGAGATAAGAAATCTGCTTCTTGGTATGTTAAAGTACCAATAGATTGCATCCAATTGTTTAATTAAACGACCTTAGTTTTTGGGAATATATAAGAATTATGCTCTAATTTCTAGTTACCAATCCATGGTTACTATTTTTTGATTCGATAAACTGGATCTTATCGCCATTCTTTTTCCGGTTTGGTCCGATTGCAATTGCGGATCTTGACCTGAGTGGAGCGGGGCAAAAAATGGCTCGGCTCCGTATTTTGACCATGATGGACGGAGAAGGCGTAGGTGGACGGTGACATGCGAAGGAGTAGTGGTGGATTTGGAACATGCGCACTTTCATCTGGTTTGGTCTGCCGCGGTTTCCGTAGACTCGTGATCGCGCTTTTAGGAAATCCT